TGTGGATAGCGGAAGTACAATATATTTTAAACAAAATAATATAGTTATATATCAATATATGGAGATATAATTCATACCACGTGGTTGAAATCGTTAATATTTCTCTAGAACTGACGCGACATTACATTCCGCAACAGTACATGTAATAAACAACTTTATATCAGTGAACTTTTTCTCGTATGATTAAAACGGCTATTTCGCAAACAATGGAATCTAACGATATCTGGCGATATGTCGAAGAATGGCAGCGCATGTTCGTGTGTTTTATATATTTTAGCTAGCACATACACACGAGATAAAGGGACGTTTACGCTACTCAAAATATTCGCTTACAATTGTAAGATGTTTTCCTGATTTCTTATATTAAGTGTCTATTTTACCCAAATGAACAAGATAAATGAGCTTTTTGTAAGTATAGAGGTTTTATTGTATCTATTAATAGTACACCTCCCCCTCCTAGACTTACACAAGCCCATATCACATTCAGTTGTTGGTCATAAGCGAGTTCGCAAAGATTAAAAAAGAAACTGTATATTTATGGAAAAGATAAGTTTTTGAAAAGAATTGTTCTTTTTCGAACCGATACATACAATTGGGTCACGTGTACGGCCCCGGTGATTTGGCTTGTATTATAATTCAGGCGGAATATAAAAATGTCCGGCAAACTACTTTGTCTTCAGTGTTTACTCCATGCCAGTAATTACTTGCGAGATAAACTATTTAATGTAGATAATTATCAGACCACAGTTCAAACAATTCATTCCAAAACAGAAGCATGCCAAAACTCTCTCCAAAAGATCTGGACCAAGTCTTCCGGTGTTGTTTGTCTGTCCAACTGTCAATGTGTCCATTTCTGTCCTACCGTCCGTACTATAAACATGTCTAGTCTGTCTGGCGCTCCGGTACACACCACTACACCATGGACATGATCGCGATAACATGTACTTTGGGTATTTTATGTAATATGTCTTGGTTATCTGTCGGCTATCGTCGTTCTGATCGCGGTTGGCACCGCATGTTTGGCAATACTTAGCTTTTATTTAACTGTGTTAGCAGTCCTTGTCAGTGTCGTTTCCTTATAAAGACATCAACTAATCGTCTATCTGATTAGACCGTATTAAACAACTAATTATATCGTCAAAGGACATTTGTGACAGCTACAACACTCGACTATGTTAGCTTAACGCTTTGATAACTCAAAATTCTCAAGTATTCCTATTTTCAAAAAACGTCGAATTGAAACTAACAATCAATGTTGAGCGTTTAAAACGTATCTTATCTTATTACTAGAAACGTGTAAATAGTTTTAACTCCAAATAATTTTGAATCAATTTTATTTTGAGAATCTCAATTTACCAATCGGTAAGAGAGTAAATCTTTGATTGAGGACGCGGCGCGTGCCTTCATTCATAAATTAGAGCGGGTTAGAATCTAATCTTTTAGATATTAAAAATTAAACAAATCCGTGATTTGGGTTGGCTTTTGACCCTATGTATGTACGATACATTCCTCGAGTACATCTCTCACACTAGAGCTACGTCAGTCGGCTTTGTATATTTGTGCGGATCACAAAACAAAAACGTCATACAGCTCGTTATTATTTCAACAATTGAGCATTATGGACACATATCACGTTTTTTAGTTATAGTAATATCAATAAATGAAAAACAAGATATCAAAAGTCAAATTTAAACAAATCAAATCTGTATTTAAATTATAAAATGTACTTGTTGGTAAATTTGAAGAAGATTTTTTTTCAAAAGTGCCGAAACATCCTAACATGTATAAATAGAGTGACCTAAACCTTTATTTATGTTCTTTTTCTGTAAGTCAGATGATGTTATCAGGACGTAAATATCTATCAGAATATATTTTACCGATATATGTTTATTTCATGTGACTCCTCAAACTCTCTACAATTTTAAATTGTTCCTACTTTTTTCTTTTTACATGGAGGCATCACCGATAACCGAAGTATCTATTATCCGTCCCACAAATATGACGTTATTGTGGAAATGGCCATCCCAGTAAATAAGATAAGTTGAAATTAAAATTACATTTTTAAATTGAAACATCATGATTTAGCGCCATTTAAAAAAAATAGTTATGATTTATTGTAACCAATGTACACACGTTTATACTAACGACAGTAATGGAGGGGGAGCTGACCGGCGGTCACTGTGAAAGGTCATGGAAGGTAACATTCGGAAATACTGTTCAGTCGGCTATCAAAGTGATCTAGAGGCAAATATGTCCGTGCTGGTGGTCAATTGATATAAACATGTACATAGTTTAGCGGTCTGGAAAAGGTCATCGAATGGCCAAATTGTCCCTAATGGTCAGTCACACCTGGGTATAGATACAACTAACATTGTCCAGCCAGCCTGGTTTTAAACATGTAAGAAATGTGTCATTGAAAATATGTATTATCTATAGCAACGTTAGTAAAATATATGCAGTAAATTATATATAGGATCTTAAATGAGTTTTCTTTCATATGAGATTTGATGAAACGAGTCTTAGGAGTTTTTATTTTTGCGAGCCTTGGCGAGTAAAAATTAAAACTTCGAGACGAGTTTCATAAAAGCTCATATAGTGAAACCAAATTTAAGATACATTGATCACACAACTCAGAAAACTTATATTTTGACAGGTTTTAAAGCCAAAATGTAGAGGGCTTAATCAAACGGAGACAGCCATTTTGTTGCGCCTTTCACAATTTATGACGTCACGTCATTGTCCATATTATGACGTCACAATCGATTTCTGACTGGCACAGCCAATTAAAAACTCTCCAGGGTATATTTCACTTGTGACATATGTAAAAGTATTACACGGGCGAATTCGCTGGATAACAGGCCGATTATGTGATAAATGTTTTATATAAAACATATCTCGTTTTAGTTTATCTCCATGTGCCATAATCGAGTTTGTAACGACGAATCCTAAAGGTTATTAGACTTTTTCAGTATAAATACGATATCAGTACTGATAGGCCGAATCATTACATATCTGTTTATGATTGTTTTTGACAGATGAAACAACATAAATCGTGAATATTACAGGTCAGACACGGGTGAAGTTTCCCTCAATCTTCATTCAGGGTACATTCAGGGGAAACATTGTAAACAGTGCACTGTGTAGCGGTGGTGTTCCTGGTGAGAATATCGTCCACTAGTCTCTTAGCACGTCAATATTTTTACACACGAAAAGAGTATTCCGATGCAGAACTTGTATAGCTTGAATGTTGATTTTGACTTGGAAACCGTTTTGTTTGGGAAACAACGGCTTACAGTATAGATCTTGATACTAATATCTTCAGACACGTGCAGACTTACATCATATCCAACAATCGATCCTGATTTCTAATTGCATAGTACTTTAACAATAAACATGTCTTCATTGTTAACTTATTATTGTAAGTGTATGTTCATTGGCAGAAGGCGTTGATAAGTTTGAATAACTTGTGACTTACCCCATGTTCAGAAATTGACAAAAAAATATTGGGGGATTTGCGAACACTTGGACTAATTGAGAACAAGCGGAACTTGACCTATATTTCATTGTGAAATATACATCGAATGCATTTAAATAGATTATGTCTATGAGAACAACATCTGCTTGTTCCATATATATTAGTTCAAGCGGTACCTAACTTCCGTTTCCGCTTCGTTTCTATGGTTACGTGTCTACACGCGTAACAGTATGAATTATAATTTGAACGCAAGGGTGATAAACTTGGCTCTAAATGTAGTCTTTAAACAGCCTAAGATATTTTCCTTGAGTAAAACTTTTTACGAATGCTTTAAATGGGCCTTAGAGATGAATTGGGTATTCATATGTAAACAACGGAGACCGACTTCGCTTGTAGTAATGGATGTCTATGGCTACGGTTCACTGATCCACATTTACATATATATCTCTCTATCACGTAACTTTCACCGCGAACACAACTGACACCTCACGCAAGCTTCATTTAAAAAACCAGTTTTAAAAGAAATGATTATATCATGATGAAATAATGTAGAAAGTATCTATTTTAATGTTTTTCGACTTATGTTTCATTTTAAAATGTGCATATGGCCATCACTGAAAGAATTTATTTAAACAAAGATTATTTCAGTTGGTTAAATTACGACTTTTGTTCGAGGGACCTGAGAAGATAACAACACATGAAGAGCAGTGACAACGATGGCGGAACTCGATGTATACTAATGTAAACACATAAACTTGCCATTCACAAAGTCCACTGGCTCAGTGTACGACGGATGAATAAAGTTACGTTACCGAAGGGTCGGGAATCTATTAAAACATAACACCAAACTTCATAATTCATGCATTATGCACGTGCGATTTATCCATCATTTCATAACTCGGTTGTAGTTCATTCAATATATTTGTATTTATCTTGTTTACTTTTAACTTTTGAAGATATATGATCCTGTTAACCACGCATGTTAACATCTATTTTCAAATTGTTTGTCAATTATTCTCTCTGGCTCTGTATAATCTAGTATCTATTGTGTTAAGTCTAGTATCTATTGTGTTAAGTCTAGTATCTGTTGTGTTAAGTCTAGTATCTGTTGTGTTAAGTCTAGTATCTATTGTGTTAAGTCTAGTATCTATTGTGTTAAGTCTAGTATCTAATGTGTTAAGTGTAGTATCTAATGTGTTAAGTCTAGTATCTAATGTGTTAAGTCTAGTATCTAATGTGTTAAGTCTAGTATCTAATGTGTTAAGTTTAGTATCTATTGTGTTAAGTCTAGTATCTATTGTGTTAAGTCTAGTATCTAGTATCCCCTCGGGTTGTGTTAAGTCTAGTATCTATTATTCCCTGACGTCATTTGGATATTTCATTTAAAACGTCACGCGACATGGGTTATGAAAGGCGGTATATTGAAGGATGGTGAATGGAAGTTGTTGTCTGAAAACTTGAAGTTGGGAAAAGTGTTATTAAGTGTTGAAATCGGTAGTTACCTGTAGATAATTGAGACACTTACCTCTCTGGAGGATTTTACCAAAGATCGGTCCGCCGTTTCCGACATCCATAGTAGGACAGTTCCATCGTCTATTCCGAAACTGATATTTGCATTCTTCTATTGCCATCCGGGCACCTGCCATTAGGGCCAAAATGGTGCCCGGGTTCTTGGTGACGAGCCTGCGTTGTCGTTTGGTGAGGGGCAGCAAGCTAGGACTGTTATATAACTGGGTATTGGAGTGCAGGTCGTTGGATGGCTGACCAATATTAGCCAAAGTCCTATAATATCAACAAAATAACAGTTATTCTGATTTGAATGTAACGAATGCTTGATGAAATGGAGAAGATTATTTTATACCAAATATAATGACAAAAATTATAAATGGTTACCCATGGTTACCCATATCATTTTAATATATTTCCTTGACGAAGGTTCTATAGTTTTGTCATTCCAGATATCTACAAATAGCTTATTCTATTGTTTTATGTTTGTTTTCAAATTGAATTTATGTTGGTGATAGCTAGCGGCTCCTTAGAACGGATACGGTTGATGAAACATATACACGGTAACACGTGATGTCGTTTGTTTATAAATAGCAACCTTATGGTACAGCATGCAGTACCTGGTTAATCACAAAGTTCACCGGAAGTCGCAATTAACAAACCGGAAGTAACTTATTCTGCGTTGAGAGAAATATATTATTACACTCGTGTCTGCCGCCATGCTACATGTCAATAACGTGATCTAGTACTTGATATGTGTGAATCGACATCGGGTTTCCAATTAAAGGAACCCAGTTTGTACGAGCCAGACAACACTATTCCTCTGTGAGGTGGTGCACAGTACACAGTACACCCAGTCAAACACCTACACATGCTTGTAGTCCCAGCTTTTACAGCTAATTGCCTTCCAAAACGAACGTGTACACCGGCATATGTAGTCTCACCCTTTACCTCCCCTTTGAAGCTCCAGATAAATTTCCAACTTTGAATTTGTATCATCAAAGCGTGGCAATTTAGACATGAAACAAGCGTATGCACGGGAGTCGTACAACGTAACTACACCGATATATCAACTAGCCTCACATGTTCCCCCATTTGAATTAAATTATCTGAAGATTTCACCTTCAAATATGTTTTGATATGCAGAACATTTCTACGTATTACGTGTGCTGCTCTATGGTAGAGATGGCACATGCACACTGTAATCAGATCGTTGTAAACGATGACATCGTGGCAGTCGTGTTTTCTATTAAAAACGATATTTTCATTACGACATAATTTTCAAGTTGTATTAAAATACTTGGCATCGCACCAGTCGTTTATTATACCAGGTTGTTTTAAAATAAGACTTTCATAAAATTTCAGTATTCGGAAACGCAAGTGGCTGGGCAGTCTGGGTGCTGGTATTGCATGATGTTGCCCCCTGTCATTTTTCTGTAATGAGCCTGCTCACGAGGAAGCTCAAAAATGACGAGAAAGATAAAACCTCAAGGTTCGAGAAATATTGCTGTCGTTTATTTTCTATCCTTCGACACAAATACTAGCCAAAAGAAATTAGTGTTGCTGTTGAATATTCTCAAAGGTCAGGACGCTAACATTAAGCTTGATATCTTAATGCAATAGCGTTGATTTCCAACTTCCGTACATTATCACCCAATTATACGCACGACACAATTGTTTTAAGTTCCATTATCCGAAGGACAATTTGAATTAAAGTTTAGAAAATTGAGCACGTTCCTGTTCATTCGTCGTTTTATATACTTTAATCTGTATGCTCTGTTTTTAATTTCAAAAGTATATAAAAAATAAGAAGTTTACATTAATGTTTTATACGACTATCCAGGCTAATATTCAGATATTTGTTTAACTTGTGTATACGGTACCAATCCTTGTTAACGTGTCGGGTAAGGTAACGAAGCAAAAACCTGGGGTCTCATCCCCTACAGCATATGGGTCACAAACGTACGCCCCAGGGCGGCACTCGCCTTCCATGTCAAGTCTGCCTATCGCTACATCACAAGCGAGATCATCTCCCTCCGATAACCATACCTAACCCGTACAGTCGGGCAGGCTTGAGAACCGGCACCATCAAACAGATCGCGCCATGGGCCCAGTAACAATCCGACAGTTGCCGTCTCTCATTGTGGCCAAAATAACTAAGAGAAAATTCGGAGAACGTGTCTCAATTATCCGGATTTTTCTTATCAGGTCTTTTGGTAAGGTTTTATTATCAAATCTTAAGTGTTGAATAATGTGATGATAGGGACCCCGGCTCTGTGTAGGAGGGGAGATGGAGAGGGAACAGCCAGACGCCATCGCCAGTCGTTGCAGTGTGGCTTTGTAACGATATTGGTGGTACGGTACTCTCGTACGAAACTAACGCATGCAATTGGACATTGTGTTCTCCCATCCATAGGGACATACGAAGCCGGACAATAATATGACACCACGCACACCAAGATAGACATTTCACAACTGTACAAAAATGAAATAGTCCATGATATTACGCATGTCTAATGCAATATCAAGACTCAATGCGCTACCAAAATGACACATAAACTGGTTCTGCGTTGTCTAAGCTATCCTTTATGCAGAGAAATATCAGCGGAGGGAACCCGACTTATGTGAGGAACAACAAAACATATAATACGAAACTAGATCATGCAATGACAATACGTACGTGAAAAATAGTCCCAACAAACGTACAAAACTGAACCATGTCATGTTGGTGTGAAAAATATTATCATTTTACGAAACTAAAATATGCCCAATGATATGTCAAATGAAATCGACTGTGTACGAAATTGTGTCAAACAAAGTTTCGGGTATGGGGATTGCACCTCACTAACGCAGTGTTGTTAACGCCTATAAGTATTCAGCTGCGATATATCCTGCTGTACTCCATCATTCAAGTTCTAAGAATCCCTGCTGCATTCGAAATACAACCTAAAGCCGACAGGAATCCTTTGTCGTACGCTCTGTTTCCCTCCTTATATCGGTAATTCATTTATAGTGGTGTGTCCTGACGTGTCCATTTGTTATACATTAGAACTTTACTGCAGAAAGCTGTTATTCAATAAGTCAAAGTCATGTTTCACAAAGAGAATGAAAAGCACCATTACTCGGGGTTATGCTTCGTTCTTCATCCTTCTCGAATCCTACTGTTACCCAAAGGAAAACTTAAAAACCTAAGCAATAAAACATTGACGCTACATTTGTGTAGTTCTACTGTTCGTCCTAGTTACTGTAGGATGTGTAGTTCTACTGTTCGTCCTAGTTACTGTAGGATGTGTAGTTCTATTGTTCGCCCTAATTACTGTAGGATGTGTAGTTCTACTGTTCGCCCTAATTACTGTAGGATGTGTAGTTCTACTGTTCGCCCTAATTACTGTAGGATGTGTAGTTCTACTGTTCGACCTAGTTACTGTATGATGTGTAGTTCTACTGTTCGCCCTAATTACTGTAGGATGTGTAGTTCTACTGTTCGACCTAGTTACTGTATGATGTGTAGTTCTACTGTTCGTCCTA